TATTCCCTAATGTCTCAAGGTTCAATGACGTAGAACAACCAGGGTATAAAAGTAATATTTTCTGTTCAACAGGGAATCAATAGTATAGATTATTTTTTGTTGAATTAATTTTCACTGAAAACCGCAATAAAGGTATATTCAATTTATTTTCACTGACCTGTCGTACATTATACGAGAAAACCATAGAGGGAGATAATATATTTACTGGATTTCATTCTAAAAATGGTTGTTCTAATACTACTGGTAACATACTACCGGTAGATGCCTGTTTTGAATAGTTACAGCAGAAAAACTAAAATTTTTACTGAATTCCATAATAATTATTCAAAACAAATAAAGATACAGTTATGTCCCTGTAGGTAAAATTCTAAAATTCACCACTTTATGTCTAAAGAACCACTCTTTCGATTTTAATGAAACTTGGCACATAGATGCTCTGAACTAATGCGCAGATTTGATTAATTTTGGGTGAAAATCTGTGCCATATTAATTACCTAATTTGCATAATGATTAATAAATTTTTGACTCCCGTGTGCGAAGCACAAAAAGGGAGTCTTTGAAGTTAGTGTGTCTGTCTGTGTGTGTGTGTGTCTGTCTGTTTGTGTGTGTGTGTGTGTGTGTATGTGTGTGGGTGTGTGTGTGTGTGTTCCATCGATATCTCAAGAACCAATGTTCGGATTTCAATGAAACTTGGTATATAGCTTGTCTGGGGCAATGCGCAGATTTGCTTAGTGGTTGACAGCCATGCATATTAATGAGCTCATCTGCATAATAATGTGTGAATTTTAAGCTATTTCAGTTGTATCTCAGGAAGCATTAAAACGATTTTTATGTAACTTGGTAAGAATGTTACTAATGATTGGCTGCTGCAATTCATTGTTGTATTTTACATTTTAATTACAATTTAGCATTTTTTATGTATTTTTTTTTTTTTTAAGTTTTTTATGCCCAATTGCATGAATACATGAGTGGACTAATTTGCATAATGATGCACATGCGTATTCTTTTTTTTTATGACCAGCAATTTATGATGGTGTCAGCCATTTTGTTATTTCCAGTGTGTTGTACAAAAACGAAGCAAGCGCTCGGGAGATGAAATGTATCAGTTTACATTATGAAAAGGTCTAAGAAATTACATGTATGATTTTTTATTACCGTATAAGTAAAT